ACACTGGACAGCTATTATTGAGTTGGCTGTAATCATTTTTTTATTTGACAACCTAAGGGAAAGGTCAGTGCCCCCTGACTAACTAGTCAGGCTGGGCACTGACCAGCGTGGCTCAGCTGGTTGGGCGCCATCCTGCAAAGTGCAAAGTCATCAGTCCAGTTCCTGGTCAGGGCACATGCCTGGGTTGCAGGTTGTCCCCTGGTTGGGTCACGTACAAGAGGCAACCGATCAATGTTTCTCTCCCTCTGTTTCTCCCTCCCTTCCCCTCTCTCTAAAAAATAAATACATATTTTTTTACATAGTTGGGTATTGCATGTTTTAAAAATGCTTGTGGGGTGCTGGCTGAAAATCACTGGATGGGTGGATAAACAAAACGTGGTACACGCATGGGATGGAATCCTACTCAGCAATGTAAAGCAAGAAATGACTGATACACGCCACACCATGAGTGAGCCTCAAAAACACCATGCTAAGTGAAAGAAATCAGATGCTGTGTGTGTATATATGTGTGTGTGTATATATGATATGATATATATGATATATATAATATGATATATATATCATATTATGAAGCTTCCAGAAAAGGCAGATCCATGGAGACAGAAAGCAAGTTGGTGGTTTCCTGTGACTAAGGCGGGAATAGAATTGATTGCAAACTGGTGTCAGGGAACTTTTTGAGCTGATGGAAATATTCAAACACAGGATTGTGGCAATGACTGCACAGCTCTACAAATTCAGTAAAAATTGCTGCATGGTACATGCAATAGGTACATTTTATGATATGTAAATTAAGGCTATTGAATAAGGCTGCTAAAAAAAACAGTACTTTACCTTGCAGGGTTGTCATGAGGATTAAATGAGGGGTTTTTTTTAAGATTTTATTTATTTTTAGAGAGAGGGGAAGGGAAAGAAGAAGAGAGAGAAACATCAGCGTGTGGTTAACGCTCACGCACCCCCTACTGGATACCTGGCCTGCAACCCAGGCATGTGCCCTGACTGGGAATCAAACCAGCAACCCTTTGGTTCACAGGTGGGTGCTCAATCCACTGAGCCACACCAGCCAGGGCTAAATGAGTTAAAAACATTTAGAACAGCATCTGACAGGTACTCAGCTCTAAGTGCTCTGTGTATTGACTAAATAATGAAGACATATGTTTGTGGCTATGTGATTGAACACACGATTAAATTGCTAGCAGTTCTTGTATGTTTTTCTACACCACAGGAAGCACTTCTGAGTACTTAAGCAATGGAGTTACTTCTCTTCCATAAAATGTACTTTAAAGTATCATACTAAACTAGAGATCATTCAAGCAGAGATGTTAAAACGTGTCACGTGATCTAACCAATAACCACCACGTCTCTAACTTCATCTCCTGCAACGCCCTCTTCCAGATCCTTCAGCAGAAGTGAACTTCTCTCATCTTCTCCAGACTCGAGACGTGGGAGAACAGCCCTTTCACACGTCGCTGGCGGGGCGGGGCGGGGCGGTCCGGGGGCGGTGCTGGGGCGGGAAATCCACCTGCTCTCCCTCGCCGTGTTCAAACACCTACTCTTACTGACGCATTAAGTCTTCACTTAGGGCCACTTTTGATAGAAGTTTCCCCTGGTTCTTTCTCCTTTCCCCAGCATCCCCCCAACACACACACACACACACACACACACACACACACACACACACTACACTTTACGTTGAATTTGCCAACCAATGTTTCACTGTTTGACCCCCGCATCAAAGGATAAACGGAGTTCTTGCATCCCTGAGCACTCAGAACAGCACAGGGGACAGGCCGGGCACTACATAAACCCTGGTGCAGTGATCCCCCGCCAGGGGGCGGGTGGGTTCTGACCCCTAGGGAGACACCCAGCCATCCCACCAACGCACCAAGTACCCCCGGGGCGCGTTTTCAGTCAATGCCCACTCCCGCTCCCAGCCTGGGGAGAAACCGCCGATCTGCTTTCCGTCCTCTCTGGAAATTTAACATGAATCGCAGGATACGGAGTCCTCGGCATCTGTTTTCTCTCACTTGGTATATTTTATTGTCACTGTGGGGTTGGAGGGCGCTACTGCTTTCTAGTGGGCAGAGGCCAGGGATGCCCCCAAACATCCACCCACGCACAGGACAGCCCCTCGGAACCCAGAATGCCCCGGGCCGGCGTGTCCACAGTGCTGAGGCTGAGAAACACTGCCTAGGGATGGAAGCATGAATTACTGAATAAATGAATCACTTCTGAAACTGAATGTAAGGATTGTCCTCACTGTCCTTTCAAATCCTAAAAGGAAAAAAATCAAAATATTTCAACGCCCTGTGCCTGTCCACAATTTGACACTTGTTTCTCGAATGCCATCATTTCAGGATGGGAGAAATATCAGGGTTATTATACCAGGGGCACCACGGCGCCTGCGCGGATATGCCCCTGCGAACAGGACCCCCACCCCAGACAGCCCGCCGCTGAAAGACACCTTAACCCCGGTCAGCCCTCTTCCCAGAGCAGCCCGCATCCTGTGGCTGGCATCCGAGGGGGCGTCCCAACCTGGAACGACTCTGCAGGGCCGTCCCAGCTCCAGAGCTCCCGGTGGGGCTGGCTGAGGCCTCCGTTCAGACGGCACCACAGCCCAGCGTCTGCTTCAGCCCATGCTCCTTCCTTCCCTCGCCTCTCCTTGTCCCGTCCTTCCCCAGGGGTCACTCACAAAACCAACCCCGATAAAGCGCCTCCTCTCTGACGCCCAGGAGTCGGCCTCCCAACTGGGATGCCAGGGAACAACGGCTCTGCCTTCTAACATTTATTTGGGGGGCGTGAAGATTTTTATTACATAAAAAAATTTACTCTAATAGTGACAGAAATTTCTATTGGTGCAAATGAACATCTAGTGACGAAAAAGAGATCCCTGGTTGTCAGGGCATGGATGGAGGGCAGGGAGGGCTGGCCAGATTGCCAGGGGACAGACAGCAGAAAGCTTTGGGGGGTGACAGATAAGTTCACAGCCTTCACGGTTTCACAGGTGTCCGCCTATGTGCAAACTCATTAACGTGCACACTTTAATTATGTGCAGTTGATTGCACGTCATCATTATACGTCCATAAAGCTATTTGATATTTTTTTTTAGAAAAGGAGCAAAAAGAAATGATCAAAGCCTGAAGGGGAGTCTGCAAAATTAAGAAAAAGTGTTATCTAAATCCCTAACACGGGTATTTGCATTTTTTCTTCTCTTTTGGCCCACAGGTCCAATATATTTTGTACACATTTTACAAGGGTAGAGTGACAGAACATGTTAGCTGTTTCCAGCCGCGATGTTGTCACACCGGTACGTTGTGATGAACTGTGAGCTGTTCCAACTAAATTTATCGATCATATTTACCCTGGCTGGCCAAGGCTTGCCTCTTTTAATATACCATAGCATATCCAAGATCACGTCCACGATAATGTCAACCACGCTCCCACGTCTTGCTCTGGTTTCTGAAATGCGGGAGCTAGCACGCAGGATCTCCCATAAGCCTTGGTAAATCCATAGGAAAATGTCAGGCGTTTAGAACCAGTGATGGAAATGCTCAGTTGTGTCTTGGCAAATATTATATCTTAAAACTGCATCGCATGTGTTCCTACACGGCCCCTCCTCAGGGACGTTTTCCTTAAAGCTCAGTGAAATAAATCGTGGAGATAAAGCACATAAATAAGTCTCCTTGCAATCCCCTCCCCGTTCTCAGAACAAGTTCCTAAACACAACTTCCTTCCTGTCTCGGTTTTTCTTCCTACCTTCCTCCCTCGATCCTCCCTTCCTGCCTATCTTTCTTTCTGGACAGATAATGTATACCCACATAGGTAAAAAAAAAAAAGTGTTAAACTATACACAACAAAACTCTCTCTCATTACTCTTTTCAAAAGGGCCTTCCATCAGAGAGACACCTTGCTACAAATGGCCACAAATCTTTTGCATTCCTCACCCAGCTAGATCGTTGCACACCTCTCTCCTGCTCTGCCCCCAGTCACTTAGCTTCCCTCCTCAAAAGCAACCAATTGGAACCAACTTTTTGTCTTGCCAGTCAGCATACCAACCAGCATACAGGCCACATGTATACCCACACACTTAGAGAGTATTTCAATCCCTAAAAAAAGATAGCAAAAATATGAACTGTTTTGCACCTTGTTTTTCACTTAATATTCAATATATCGGATATCATTCAATGTTAATATATAACGAGCTTCCAGATGCTTTTTGGAGTTGGACAAACAGGACGGGCCATTCCCCGTGGTCACTCCTATCATCCTCGCGGCGAGGCCTCGGACCCTCCTCCGCTCGCTCACAGAATGCGTGTTCATGGTCGAACATGTATCACGCTAAGCTCTGAGAAATATAAATGTAAGCATAAATATAAACATAAACACATACATACAGTGTCTGACACAAACAATGCCCCTTTTTATTACAAAGTCTTTTATTACAAAATAAGCGTGTAATTCTGTGACGTAACAACTCAAACATACCATATGACACTTTAGGTGAAATGTTCGACTGTAAATTATTACACCCATATTACTTACTACCCTACCAACCACACTCAAATAGGCGTTACTTCTGCCAGATCCTGTATGTGTACCTATACCTCTATCTCTTTATCTATATCTATCTGTATCTATCACTTCTTCCGCTGGCACAGTCCAAAGAAGATCATGCAGCTACCAATCTGAGTCCTTTCGTTCCTCCCAAGGCTGTAAGAGGTAGGGGTTATCAAGAAGCATTCCCATTTTTGCAACGGTCAGGAACCCGAGGTTCAGAGAGGTTGAGTGGCTTGCGAAGGGCGCACAGCCGAGAGGCGCTGCGCGCATCTGAAACCACTCCCCTTTGCCCCAGACTCCACCCCAGGGAAGGGCGGCGACCTGGAGGTGCGAAGGTCACCCCGCCAGCGCGCTCCTCTAGGGACACCCCACCCTCGCCTGCTCCCCGCCCACCCCGACCGGCCGCGGGACTGCGGGAGGTGGTTCCCCTCTGGGAGGCTGCGCAGTGAAGGCGGGAGGCGGGCCTCGGGGCAGGCCGGGCCAGGGGCGGGGTCGCGGCGCTCCAGAGCAAAGGAAACGTGTGCGGACTCGCTTCTGGCGCTCCTGTGGCTTCTCTGCAGGGCAGCATGGGGCCCCTGCCACGGACCGTGGAGCTCTTCTACGATGTGCTGTCCCCCTATTCCTGGCTGGGATTCGAGGTGACGCCGAGGCTGGGGCGACCAGGGCAGAGGGAAGGGCGAACGCTAGACGCAGGGCCCGGCGGTCTCGTGCAGTTCCTGGCGCTGCCGAAAGGGGTTTAGGACAGACGAGAGAGCCGAGGCTGAAGGTCACTTCGTGTTTGTAAAATGGAAACAATCGCTGGCTCCAGGCCGAACCCTTATATCCTAACACAGCGGTTTTCCACAGTGGTTTGGGAAAGGGGCAACTCCAAAGAATCAAGGAGAAAGCCATGGCACCACCACCTCTTAGCCCTCTCGTGTCCGTTGGTGGGGGAGGGGGGCCGCGGGGGGAGGAGTGCAGAACAGGATGGAAACTGTCCACAAGAGCTACGATCCTGGGAGAGAGTTCTAGGACTGAGCAAGTTTAGCCATTTCAAGCCGAGCAGTTTAGGGGGTCCGCCTAACCCCTCCTTTGCGCTTAGAGCCTCTGGCTAATCAGTTGTCATGCAACACCCTCCCCTGTCCCTCTGCCACGTTCGCGCCTTCGCTCTGCACACTGGCTGCGATGTCCGCCTCGCTCCTGCAGATCCTGTGCCGATATAAGAACGTCTGGAACATCCAGCTGCAGCTGCGCCCGAGCCTCATTGCAGGGATCATGAAAGACAGTGGTAGGAAGGCAGCAGCGCCCGGGGCGGGGACTTGACGAAGTGCAGATTTCAAAGGCCCAGGGGGGCTGCCCTCCAGTGGGTCTTTATGTGGGCACCAGCAGCTGGTCATCTGCCCTCTACCCAAAACCCAGGAGGGGCCCCCAAGCCTGGGATCCTTAGGTGGCTTCTCACCAGCAAGTCCAACTCTCCACTTGCAGGAAACAAGCCGCCAGCTCTGCTTCCCCGCAAGGCCCAATACTTGACAAACGACATTAAGCTCCTGAGACAGCATATCCAGGTTCCTCTGCAGTTCCCCAAGGATTTCTTCTCTGTGATCCTTGAAAAAGGTGAAGAGTGTGGGGTACAGATGGGACAGGAAATGCAAGGCGGCAGAGTTGAAGATTGTGGGGCCCAGAAGGAGGGGCGGGGCGGCTAACTGCAATGAAACAAACCCTGGGGAAACTCAGCATCAGAGATTTGGGGCTGGGGTGGGGTGGACAGAAGGACACAAGAGGACAAGGAGCAGGACAAATCAGGAGACACTTGGGTGGGAAGCTGAAGGCAACTGAGCCCTGGGGGATGCTCCGAGCAGGAAAGGGCGGGCAGGTCCTCCATCGGGAAACAAGCTAGGGGAGCCCTACCCGGGAGTGCCTGTGCCCCACAGGAAGTTTGACAGCCATGCGCTTCCTCACCGCCGTCAACATGGAGCACCCGGAGATGCTGGAGAAAGCGTCCAGGGAACTGTGGATGCGCGTCTGGTCACGGGTGAGGGCATGGTTACGGGCGAGGGCAAAGCTCTGGGAGACCCTGGGTGACGTGGTGGCCCACCCCTAGGCCTGCTTCCAGACTGCTGCTCCGGCCCTCCCCTCTCGTTCCCTGACCTGCTGTCCATCCTGCCCCTCACCTGGCCACCCCCTTCCTGCTGAGTGTTCTCTTTTTCCCAGGACGAAGACATCACGGACCCTCAGAGCATCCTGGCAGTGAGTGTCCTGGCCCCGCGCCCAGCCCACCCCCTCCTCTCACAGGGAATCTGAGGACAGTGGGCATTTGGGGGCGGAGAGGACATAGTTTCGCTTCTAGATGGAAGAGGTCATTGTTACTTGGGGAGAAAGCGTATCTGTGTGTGAGGGGCCAGATTGCAGAAAGGCTGGAACTAAGAGGACTCTCAAAAGTGTATCTCAGGGTTGAAAGAGGAAGGGCAGAATTCTCCATTCGAATTTATTTGATGGGCGTAGTCAGTGGGAGAGAGAGGATAAACGTTAGCCACCCTTCCTCCATAGGGAGGGCTGAACTATTCCCAAACAGCCCAACAGAAATCTCATCAGAGATTTCCATGGGAATCAGGGCCCAGCCCTTGATTAAAAACAAAACAAAACAAAACAAAACAAAAAAAACCCGCAAGATATTCAGGGAATCCGAGAAGCGGGAAGGCAAGAGCCCCGGACTTAGCATCAGGGCCTCAGACCCTCGCTTTGGCTCTGCTACTAACAAGCTCTGTAAGGCTGATCAAGTCCAGTACCACCTGGACCTGTCTCCTTATAGGTTCTAGAAGGGGTCAGGAGCTGTCCCTAAGGCGCCCTCTGGCGTTAAATTTATGCAACTACAACTCTGCCGCCTGCTTTTCCCACCAAACTCAAGATTTTCCAGGAAGAAAATAGCCCCTCTTGGCGAGGATAGTCCTCTGCTTGTGGGAAGGCAAAGGCCTTGCCAGGAAAACTTGGGGAGAGAGAGTAGAAAGACCCAAGTTTTCTCCTGAGATCGCCTCTCCCACTACTCCAGACACAGTGGCCTTCCCTGTCGTGTCCCCTCAGGCCGCAGAGAAGGCTGGCATATCAGCACAGCAAGCCCGGGGACTTCTGGAGAAGACCTCAGCGCCACAGGTGAAGAACAAGCTCAAGGAGACCACCGAGGCGGCCTGCAAGTACGGGGTGAGCCACGCCTGAGGAGTGCCTGAGGGTCTCTGCTGGGCGCCCACGCTCCTGTCCCAAAGCTGCTCCCCACTGAGTCCTCCGTAGCTCTCCCGCTGGCCTTCCTCTCCCTTCCTGCCCCTGAGCCCAGGGAAAGGAAAAGGGGGAGAGAGACGGTGATCGAGGACAGAGCCTCTGAGAGTTAGAAGACTCCTCAGAGCCGTGGGGTCTCTTATCAAACACCTCCAGCTCGTTTGCTTCTGTGACCGCAGACAAGTGTTGCCTCAGGGCCTTTGACCCCAGCCCAGTAAACTAAACACCTTCCTCCCTGCACTTGCATTGCTTTCTCTAGGCCTTCGGGCTGCCTGTCACCGTGGCCCACGTGGATGGCCAAACCCACATGCTGTTTGGCTCTGACCGGATGGAGCTGCTGGCACACCTGCTGGGTAAGTGACAGGCTCACACTGAGCTGCCCTTTGCCCCAGTCCCACTGATATTACATCACTGATCAGAAGGACAGATTCAGAGCAAAGAATGTTCTTGATATTTCCAACCGTGGAGCTTACATAGACACCCACCGGTGCTTGAGATCAGATGGGGAGGGGTCGCCTTCCTGGCCACAGGAGAGAAGGAAGCTTCTGTACCTGGCAGCCAAGCACAGCCCTTGTGAGGGAACCCCTGGGGCTCGGGGGGTCCACCTCTGACAGGCGTGGTTTTCTCCATCCAGGGGAGAAGTGGATGGGCCCTATGCCTCCAGGCGTGAGTGCTAAACTGTAAGGATGCCCAGAGGAAGCAAAACCATCTGCTCACCCCTGCTCCATGGAGAGGTGCTGGGACGGAGGCTCCTCTGTGGCCCTGGCCGGGCCGCATCATCTGCGTGACTCGCACGGCTGGTCTCACTTGTGTGCCTCACAAGTGCCTTTTGGGAGCCCCAAACTCTGCCTCCCCCAGAATAAACCGGATGCCACTGATGCAGCAGCTCTGGGTCTGGGTCTTCTGTGGTGTTCGTGTGTTCTCGTCCCCGTGGCCACATGCTGTCCGCTCCAGGTGTGGCGGAGGAGCAGCTCTGGCTGTGTTCCCAGCTCCCAGCCCACCTCGGGGAGTCCCTCTTTTTCTTCTGCAGAAACTCCCCAGGGCTCTCTGTCGGGGACAGCAGACTAAGGCAGATGGATTTTGCAATTATGCAGTTTGGCACTTACTGTCTTCCAGCCAGCCACGGTGTCTGAGATGGGGCTGAAGCCTAGGCCCCGTGCGCGTGAAGGCTGGAGGGAACCACAGTGTGGCTGAGTTTGTGCCCAGATATTTAAATTGGGTCCAGCGACGCTGACCGGTAGAACTAGGGCAAGGCAGCGCAGGGAGACCGGCTGGCGTGGCCTTGGCCTGGGGAAGGTGCTCATCTCGGCACAGGTCCCTCCTCTCGCCCAAGTACAGGTCCCGAGAAAACCCCAGGCCTCCCCCTGCCTACCACGAGCCCCCTGCTCTCACACAAACCTGTGGCTTTGCTGCTCCCCCCGTGATGTATCCAGAGCCCCTGCTCGCTCTGTGCCCTCTGTGCAATGATCAGAATGCCTTGTGTTTCAATAGTATTTGGACTTCTTTGAGGAGACCCTCCATTCAGAAGCTGAAGCCACACGTGGGCGCCTGGTGGGAAGCAGATACGGAGCCCACGATGGCGTGGCTCCATTTCCCTCTCCCTCTGCCTCTTCCTCGTCTCACATCCCATTCTCCACTTTTGTCCCCGATCATGTTCTGGCTTCCTCCTCTCTCCTGCTTTTCCGTCGTTCCAGCATGCTCCAGGACTCCAGGTCATCCGCACCAGGCTCATCTGTGAGGCTATGCCAGAAGTACATCTGCAAATAAGCACTCTCTCCTTCGAGCAGATTTCATGAGATGCTTGTCTCAGCATTATTTGTGACATCAAATGACTTAAAAGTAACAGTAGGAGGGTGCTTGAATAGATTATTATATATCTAGGTTGTAATGGTTCCTAGCCATCAAAAACTGTATGTCTGAGGAATTATAAAGAACATTGGAAATCTTAGGATATGATATTGATTGGGGAAAAAAGATGAAACTATATGTTCCATAGCATGATCTCAGCCCTGGCTGGTATGGTGCAGTGGATTGAGCCCGGGCCTGGGAACTGAATGGTTGCAGGTTCAGTTCCCAGTCAGGGCACATGCCTGGGTTGCAGGCCAGGTCCCCAGCAGGGGGTGCTTGAGAGGCAGGCACACATTGCCATTGCTCTCCCTCTTTTTCTCCCTCCCTTCTTCTCTCTCTACAAATAAATAAAATCTCTAAAAAAATTAGTATCTCAATTACATCTGGATACATTGAAATATATTACATTCCAGAGGACATTAACATACTAACCCTAGAATGAATTATGTCAAAATGTTTCCATTTCATTTGTCTACCTTTTTAAATGATCAGTTATTGTGGTAAACAAATATACATGTAAAGGAGTAAAAAACTGGAATTTGTAGATTCACCTTTGGGTACAATTGTGCATTCTTCCCATTGTTTTCTAAACCTCTCCATTGCTTAACTTAATCGTAAATCTTATCACAGGTTACTGTGGGATGATCTCTTATCACAGTTGCATTCTCCCCAGATCTGCCCAATCACCTTCGAAGACTAGCATCCTGTGGCCCTAACTCCAGAGCAGAATTTCATGATCTCTGAAGGAAGGAGACCATTTAGACTTATCTCTACATTCATGATCTAGATAATTTCTGAAAAATGTCAGCCAAATGGAATGCAATGTGAGTGTTTTGGTCAGAGTTTTCCCAAGACACAGATTAAGGAGGATACTTATCGATATATAGAGAAATCAGAAGAAAGTATGGTTAAGGGGGCTGAGGGCTCCCACGGTCTACCATCTGAGGTTCCAGTGGAGTCCAAAGCCCAAGAACCAGGAGCACCGATGTCCGAGGGCAGGAGGAGATGGGTGTCTCAGTTCAAGCAAGTGCACACTTGCCCTTCATCTGCCTGTATGTTCTGTCCCAACCCTCAGTGGACTGGGTGATGCCCACCCCCGTGGGTGAGGGCCATCTTTACTGTCCATCCATTCGAACGCTAACCTCTTCTGGAAACACCCTCCCAGCACACCCAGAGACCGTGTTTTATCAGCTGCCTGGGCATCCCTGGGCCCAGTGAGGCTGACACATGAAATTAACCATCAAGATGAGAAAGGGAAAAGCCCCCAAAGCAGCTATGTTTTTAAATAAAGGAATACTCTGTTCTTCTAATCCAAAGAGAGTTTTATACTTATGTTTACTTCTTTTTTCTCCTCGCCTTCTGATAAAAAATTGTAATGTCATATAAAATCTGCAATTATGTCAATACCCAGAATTCAACAGTGACCACTTTCTTGCATTGCAGTTTAAATTCCAAGCTTACCAAAACCCAACTTCTTAGGTAAAATTCCTAGATGTGACATTTTGTTGCAGAGCCAAAGTGCAAGCTGTCATTGACAACAACCAAAAGGTATGGAATGCCTGTGGTTAACAAACCAAACAAAACAAAGCAAAGTGTCAAGTGAAAAGTGAAGTCTCCCCACTGTCCCACTCCTATTCATATTCTTCAGTTTTGTGCGTGTGTGTATCCTCCCAGAAATGTCCATATTCTTTAACATGCAAATGTCACACATAACACAGAGAGATGCTACACCCCCCCCCATCCGTCTCCCCAGTGGTAACATCCTGCATGACCATAGTACAGTAGCACAACCAGGAAACCGACTCGGAAGGGACCCATCAACCTTCCTCAGATTTTATACACGGCGTCACACGAACTATTTGTGTGCCTGCATTTAGCTCCACATAATTTTATCACCCGAACACCATGTGACCACAACCAGTCAGGATGCAGAACATTCCAGCACAAGAGTTTCTCAGGCTACTCTTTTATAGCCACAGCCGCCTCCCTCCCTCCCCACTTCCCTCACCCCGGCAAGTGCCGAATTCTTTGTAGCATTTTGTCTTCCTAGGGTGCTGTGGAGATGGGATCCGATTGGCTTGCTTACACTTCGCATAGTTCCCTTGAGGTCCACCCAAGGTGTTGCCTGTGGTGTAGTTTGTCCCCATGGATTGCTGAGTGTTTTTCATCGTATGAATATGCCAGTCTGTTTAACTTGCTGAAGTTAAAAACGTTTGGGTTGTTTCCAGTTTGGGGCTATTAACCAGTAAAGCTGCTCTGAACATTCACGTACAGGTTTTTGTGCGCACATGAGTTTTCATTTCTCTGGGGTAAGTGCCCATGCCCACAGTTGCTGGGTCACATGGTAAGTGTGTGTCTCGTTTTCAAGAAACTGCCATACTTTCCTAGAGTAGCTGTGCCATTTTACCTTCCCACCAGCAGTATGTGAGTGACCCAGTTTCTCTGCATCCTCACCAGCATTTGGTGTTACTATTATTTTTTATTTTTGCCTTGCTGATAGGTTTGCAGTGATATCTTGTGATTTTAATTTGCATTTCCCTAAGGACTAATGACGTTGAATATTTTTTCGTGTGGTTATTTGCCATCTGTGTGTCCTCTTCGGTGAAATACCTATTAGTGGCTTTTGCTGATTTTCTAATTGGACTGTTTTGATAAATGTCCATATTGGCTTTAATAATAAGTTTTAAAATATATATATACAAACTGTAAGAACACATCTTTGGGATAATTGGGGAAAAATAACATGGGCTTGGGTATTAAGTGATATTAAGGAATTAATGTGAATTTCATTAGATGTGATAGGGGCACGGTGGCTGTACACACACATAAAAAAACATTCTCATTGGTTGGAACTACATTCTGAATTATTTAGGGTAGAGGTGGCAGGATGCCTTTTAAAAGATGGGAGACCCTTGGCTGGTGTAGCTCAGTGGATTGAGCACTGGCCTGCGAACCAAAGCGTCGCTGGTTCGATTCCCAGTCAGGGTGCATGCCTAGGTTGTGGGCCAGGCCTCCAGTAGGGGGCACTCAAGAGACAACCACACATTGATGTTTCTCTTCCTCTCTTCCTCCCTCCCTTCCCCTCTATCTAAAATAAAAATAAAAAGTAAAAAAAAAAAAATGGGAGATGTAGAAGGAATAGATGAAACAAGAGTGGCAAAATGTTAGTAATTGTTGCTGTGTGGTGCCTAGAGAGCTCACTATACTATCCTTCCCTTTTATGTTCCTTAGGATGTTTCCAGAATAAAAATGTTTTTGAAAGGTAATGTAATAAAATGTAATTCTGCGACAGTACGTATTTTCGCTATACCCCCAAGTGCTATGCACACCAGGTTGGCTTCAGGGACCTGTAACCTGAGCACGCACATAGGGCTTCGCAGCCCGTGGAGCGCCCTGCTATTGCTGTCTTGAAATCCTTCAGGATCGTGAGCAGGGGGCTCTGCATTTTCATTGCATGCTGGACCCCACAAATTACATCGCTAGACCTGATGCTGTAAGCACACAACACGTGCTGAGTAAATGCTTATGAAATGAACGGAAGAGGAAAAGGTGAGAGAAGGGGAAAAGGAATGGAGATCGTGAAAAAAGGAGATAACCAGGCGAAAGGAGAGACGGACAGAGTACCAAGCAGAAAGGCCGACTGGGTCTTCCAGGACGGTATGCTGCTGGGGAGACAGGGAGGCTTGGAGAGCAGGAGGAGTCCAAGGAGATGAGTATGGGGCCATTACTCATCACTCTCCTTCTCCGGGGAGTCCCCGCTACAATTCCCGGGTACAAGCAAAGGGGGAAGCAGAAAGAGGTAGCCACTTAGACTGCAGGGTAGAAAGACTGGAGACCAGGGGACCAACTGGACCGCTGCTCCTTGTTTGTCCCATGCTCTTAATCCAGGCCTACACAGTCCCTTCAGTGCCCTGACAGAGGGGTCAGGAAAAGCTAAAACCCTTGGCTTGGAGCCGACACTCTTCGGCCAGGCCAAGTTCAAGGCTGTGGCTGGTTCTAGCTGATGCCAGATTGGAAAAGACTGGGAGAGGCAGGGG